AAAAATCCCAGGATGTTTCTCGGAAAGAGAAGGGGTGTTACCCCGGTGTCCTGGCCAAATTTCCCCCTGGTCTTTACCAGTCATGGCCTCCTAATAATCCCCATCTCTGAACTGGCTCTGAACTGGCTCTTGCCGGGCACGGAGTCCCTGTGCTGCAAGACGTGGGACATCAGTGCAGAAGGTCCGGTCGGGAGAGAAGAGCGCCACCTACTGACCCCCAAACTGGTTTTCTTTCTGAGATCTCCCATCCCAGTACTGACCAGGCAACAGCATTTCATGGAGTTTGTTTCGAAGGTTCGGGAGGGGTGACAACAACCTAGTTTAATCAGAATCTGCTGTCGGTAATTAGCAATCACTTCCAAAGTCATTTCCTCTCCTAAAACACTCTAAAACCCTACGTGATCCCACCTCAGCCCCACCTCCCCCTCTGCAGCTGCCCCTGGGTCACTCCTCACTCCGGTGGTCCTGGCCTCCTTGACCTCTGGCCAGGAGGACAGCACTCAGCCAAGCGGGTTAAACAAAATTTGCACTAAACACTCCTAATCCTTTCAGGACACTTAATTATGGGGTGTTGTTATTCCTACAGAGCAAATGTTCTGAGATCTGATGCGCTCAGAGTACAAGGTGCACAGGAGCTGGGGTTGCGATTTCTAGAGCGTTGCAAAGTAACTCTTGCTTCAAAGCCTTTATTGACTTTGGAGGAACTCGTGGAGGTGTGAAAGTGATGAGGGTACTGGAAGGCGGTGGGGTTGAGTCCCAGGTGAGACACTGCTGTTTGTGCCCTCAAGCAAGGTTCTTCACCTGTATTGTTGCAGTGAAACTACCCAGCTGTGGAAATGGGTGCAAATACAAGTTGCTTTGGAAAAAAGCATAAATGAATACTGTATATATGGGGTACAAGCTGCACATGCTAGGCTGCTGATGCATGGAAACAGACCTGAAGAGGCTGTGGAGCTGCAGCCCCTCGAGGACCAGGACCGTGGAGCTGCAGCTGTGTCCCAGGACAGCTCTGAGGACGCGGGCGCAGGGGGTCTCCGCAGGAAGGCCGCGCGCCTCTCTTTCTGTCCCTCTGGGCTCCCATGTCTCTTGTTCCCGTTCTGTCCGCTCAGGGCTCGTGGCGTTCAGGCAGCACCTGCAGAACCTGGCGCGGACCAAGGGCATCCTGGAGCTCAACAAGGTGCAGATGCTGTACGAGCAGATGGGCCCCAGCGACGAGCCCTCGGCCCAGCCCCCCCTGCCTGACCTCCTGGACGCCCAGCAGCGGCAGGTCAGTGACGCGGCCGGAGTGGCAGCCCCTCTTGCAGACCCCTCCGGGGGGGGGCGTGTTCTGCCGCAGCCTGCCCTGTCACAGGAAGAAGTAGCTGGTTGTGAGTTGTTAACTGGCGGGCCCCTCTCGGCGCTGAATGCGGCCATTGTTCTGCTCCCTCGGCTCACCCTGCTGGTGCTGTGCCTCTGCTTACATAAGAACCGGCCCGGCCCAGCGAGCGCAGTGTGCATCAATTCAGTTCATTGTTATATAGCGCCTTTCATAACAAGGTTGCCCCCAAGGCACTTATTACTCGTACGCTCACTGGCCAGAATTTTAGGAAGCCCCCCAACGAACTAACCTTTCTCAGGGAACATGGGGCTGGGTTCCCCCGCCCATCCCAACCGGGATAACCCCTAGATCACGAACGTCCTGCCCAAGCCGTTCTCCCTGCTTGCAGCACAGGGGGAAAAAATCACTCCGTTTCATGAGTAGACTGCAGGTACGGGCAAAACTGAAAATGGAAAGGAGATGCTCAAAGGGGGCTGAAACAAGCTGCCCAGCCACGCTGTGGAAGCCGCTATCCACGCGTCTTTCACGTGCCGGCTAGATGAGATCCTTCAGTTAAGATGGAAGTTAATACTTTACACAAATGGTGGTGGGAGTGTGGAACAAGATACCCAGCCACGTTGTTGAAGCTCGTACTCTGGCTTCTTTCAGCTCACTATCAAATTGGCCAGATGGGTCGAACGGCCTCATCTTATCTGTGACCCGTCTGATGTTCTTACGTGCTGCTGGGAGCCGCCAGATCCCAGCTGAGCAATCCTACCCTACCAGTGGCAGCGCTCGGGCAAGTGTGCACTGCCTCCTGGGGAATCCCAGTCCCTGTCGACTCGAACCCGGGACCTTGAAGCGCCTTAAGCGCTTGAGCCTTGGGGAGGCTTTAGCATGTTCCCTGCCCAAGCTCGTGGCTCGTGTTGATGTTTGCTCCCACCTCCTGTTTCCAGGCCGACCTGTCCCACCCACAGGACGGCGTTTCCGTGTACCCCGGTGGACCCCACCCCCAGATCCTGTCCCGGCGGCAGAGTCTGGAGACCCAGTACCTCACTCACAGGCTACAGGTGAAGTCGTATACCGAGCCCCACACGGACGCTGGATTTGTAAAATTTTCTATCACTGCTTTTGCTTAACAGTGTTGCTCAACAGCCCAAGATAGCTGTAGCCTATGGGAGTCTGCACTGCAGAACTAGCTGCTTCAGCTCACTGTCTGACAACACGTGGGCATGCTTTCTCACACCAAAACGGGAGGAAATTCTAATAAGACAGTTCGCAGAAAATACAGGAAGTACAGTTTGAAATGCAGCAAACCCACAGCAAAATGTGACTGAGCAAAGTCAGATCAGACAGAGAAGATTCAATTTCCTCAGTGATGTAACTCACCACAGGAAAATAAACCCACTTACTGTAGTCAAACTTCTTCGTGTTCCCCTCATGATGACATAAAGGAACCGGCTTAGCGTTATGTTTTCAACTGAGCCTCCAAATCTTAAAATTCCCGGAGGAAGAACACAGTGGCTTCTCCTTGGGCACAGCGGCCCCTGGCCCTGCCGAGATACGGGACGTGCCCTGCGTGTCCGCGCCGCACTGTGCCGGGCAGGGACGGTAACCGGGCCTTCTGTCTCCCCTGCAGAAAGCCAGCCTCCTGGCCAGCAGCCCCACCAGCTGCCAGATGTTCTGCAAGGAGACGCCGCGGAGCCTGGAGCAGCAGCTGCAGGAGCACAGGTAGGAATGAGTCCGTAGGCACCGAACTCCAGCTGCGCCCTCAGCTCCGCTGGCCAGCACACCCTGTGCCCACGCTGGGCTACGCAGGGTGGCTGAGTGCCTCGTGCGCTGAGGGGCAGACAGCTGTGGCAACCTGAGCGAAGCCGGGGCCCCAGAGCATGAGCAACACGAGAGCAGGGGGTTCCCCCTTGAGGCTCAGCCGAATCAGCCAGACTAGCTGGGGACTCTCAAGGCAGGGGACAAGGGGAGGCAGTCTGGCCCGTGCCAGTGCCGTGCCAGTTTGCTCAGGACAGACAACGGGGGGGGGCGCTGCAGGGCGATTTGTACAAGACTTGCAGTCTCCCCGGTCTGGAAGCTGATTCTGTGGGATCCCCCCAGACGCGCCCTGATGGGACACATCGGAGAGCCGGGCCGTGCGCTCCCTTGTGCCCTGGGCCGGCCTGGAAGCCTGACCGCGCCCTCTCTCTGCCCTCAGGCTGCACCAGAAGAGGCTGTACCTCCAGAAGCAGTCCCAGCTGCAGGCGTACTTCAACCAGATGCAGATCGCCGAGGGATCCTACCCCCCGCGCCAAGCCCTGGGGCACCACCACGAGTCCTCGGGGTCCCAGCCTGGACAGGGGGTGCCCACGCAGCAGCAGCCCCAGCCCTCCGCCCCCCAGGCGTCCCCCCCCTTTGCTCGCGTGCAGCCCCCGCTCACACCCCTGCTGGAGCCCTCCCCGGAGCCGCTGACCTACGAACCTTACCTGGGGCACTACCAGGACCTGCAGCCCATGGGCGTGCCCCCCGGCCTGCCCCTGCAGAGCCAGCCCCGGGACCCCCTGGGCTACAGCTACCCCGGGGGCGACCTGGCGCTGCCGCCCTCCCCCGAGCCCCTCTACCAGGAGCAGTACCAGTACCCCGCGGAGCCGGGGCAGCCGCCCCCTCTGGGCCGGCCGGAGGGCGTCCCGGCCAGCTACGAGGGGCTGGCCCTGCCCGAGCTGCACAGCAGCTTCCTGGACTGCGAGATGATGGAGACCGTGGACTCCCAGCACGGCTTCGTGCTGGTGAACTGAGGGGACGCCCTGGTGCGGACGAGCAGTATTACCCTGAGACCGCTGCAGCATTCGGGTGGGTGGGTGGGGGGGGGTGCCTCTTGGGGGACGGGAAGCCGCCAGAGGGAGAGATTATATATATATCAATAGAGATTTTTTTTCCAATTTTACCCAACCCTCCGTACTACCCTCCCCGGACCCCCACCGCCATTCCTGACGTCTAGAACCCCCGAGAGCTGGGAGTTCGTCGTTGCGGTTGCTGTCCGCGGGTCCCCGCGTCTTCACGAGCAGACACGCGGCTCGCTCGGCGCTGACCCGGGCCAGCCGGGCCAGGCGGTACCTGCCCAGATACCCGAGCTGTGAGCCGGGACAGGCCCGTTTCAGGTGGAGCTGCAACCCTGACATAAGAGCACAAATGGTAACAAGTTGTTTTTTGTTCTATTGTTTGAATAGGAAATTTTTGGTCTCAGCTTCCTTTGTAGGTTTGAGTGCCGTTTCATCTAAAAATAAAAAAAAAACACAGTTGAGGAGTGCAGTGACCACGAATTTTACGACAATATTAAAGCAATATTTTCATCCGGAACTGAAGGAAGCCTTAAACAATTTCTAGGTTTCTTAAAGAACATTCTTCTTTTTTGACGTCGAATTAAAACACTTTCTGTTGACTGTAGGCTTCAGGGGGGCATAACGCTAAGTCACATGACACTGGATTCAGACGACAAGTCCGTTTCGGGCTCTCTTACTACAGCCATTTTGAAAAGGAAGGGGAATTTTTCTGAAAACAAGAAATCTGCTAGAAGCTTCTAAAACAGTTACTAAAATAAGGCTACTTTTCTGGATGATTGGATTTAAGTGTTTACGTTTGAGGAAGTGGCAGAAGTCAGACTTAAGGGAGAAGAGGCGGTGGGCATTACACACCAAGAAGGGATGTCAAGGAAAGGCCGTGGATGAGGAAGCGTTGGCATGGCAACTGTTTTGGGCCTACTGGATTCTTGAGAACGAGACAAGCCTGTTTGAACTGGAGCTGGAGTGATGCCTCTGTCCCTCCACACCTTTTCAATAACCGGCAGAAAAAGAGAGACACTATTGTTTTCTTTTGAAGTGAAAAGATAAAAAGTATATATATTATTAAAACACGTTGATGGTTGTTCATTACGCTTTGTACAAATTAGGATTTTAGAAATTGTAACAGACACAAGTTGCTTTTTGAGAAACACAACAACAGATGTGTTCAGTGTGGTAGTGCTGTGCCTTTGACTTGCGTTTCTCTTTTGGTTTCTTTTAATTTAAAAAAAAAAGTGATTTGTTTTGGGTTTTGTTTCCTTGCTGGAAAATGAAAAGAATTAGACCCCTGTTTTTCTGATGGTACAAACCAAAGTCCCTTCCGGAGCACCCTGACAGCCCCACTGTGTGGAGCTGGGGGGGTCAGCTTCCTAGTTCGCTTCTTGACAGTGCTTTTTGGTCAATCAGTATATGCCGTACAGAAGTATTATAGCAATATTTATAAATAATAATCTTAATTATGATGATGGTAATAAGATAGTGAATGTGTTGCCATTTTGTTTGTGTCATTTCGCACTTTGTATCTGATATCTGATCCTTGGGACGAACAGTCTTTTAACATCCGTATCCTCATTCTTGTTGACCACACATAAGCTAACGTGCTGTTGAGAATAAAACAAGAAAGGTTTATTGGAACGGCTCGTCTTTTTCTCTCTGTTTAAATGTGCGCGTGCCTGGGAGCCTCTAGTCTTGATCTGAGGATTTTATCCAGTCTTATCCTAAAAAATCCAGAGAAATTGGATGCATCCAGTTTTCTCCGGACTCCTGTGGCTGTGTATAGTGTATAGATGGGCGCCCTGCCTGTGTCCGATCCTAAATGTACTGCTTTCCCAGTTTCCTTGTCCCTTTGTTGCCCCGTGAAGCAGTTTCATTCAGATCCTTTTCCTGAATCGCCACTCGGGGCTGAGAGTCCTTGTTTCAGGTCTCCCTGGTGGTCTTCTCTGCCTGCGGCCGAGGTGATCCAACCTGTAGCCAGTCCGTTGGCATGACTTTGAGTTCGGGAAGATTTCGGGTCGCCCTTGAAACTCTTCCCGGGCCAGCGAGATGGCGCAGGGAGGCAGTTGACCTCTCTCATTAACACAAAGAGGTGGGAGGAGGCAGAGAGGGGCTCCGGCACCCCTTTTTAGTCTTTCGGGTGTGGATTTCTGCAAGCAGCGGAAATAAAAGGGAAACAGAGGTGTGTGGCTGGTGTAGAAGGCCGCCGGTCATTCCAGCTGTTTTTTTTTTTGTGGTTGAACACCAGGCAGTAGATGGACAGCCAAACAGCCAAAGAGGCTGATGGGTTGATTTTCGTTCAGGCCCGCACAGAGACGAGAGATACGGGCCCAGGCTCACAGATGAGGACAGCAGCTCCTGGAATGTCCAGTGGCAACTCGGAGGGGACAGCTGCCTAATGCCTGTTATTCCAGGACTCTGGAAAGACATCCAGGAGCTCAGAGATCCGTAGGCCAGGTGGTATGCTGGATGGCACAGGGTCTCCGTCCAGCAGATAGCCACTCCTAGAGCACAGCGGAATCCAGGGATTGTGGGGTGGTGAGTACAGAATCCCCTCCGTCCTGGGGGTGGGGGTTGAGAGGCTCTGATGAGTGTCTAGTTCCAGTGCAGCTGTCCCAATGGTGTACTTCCTCCCAGCCCTTTCAGCTCACAGCCAGGTCCCCGACACTGGAAACCCGGAGGTTGGCAGCAAACAAACTGTACACAGAGACGCGGGAGACCGGACCCACACGTTTTAGTTTCAGTTTCCCGAGTGTGAATCGCAGGAATGAGAACGTGATCCGTGAAAATGCATGTCGAAGAATCTCCCTGTGACCGCTGTTGAGAGTTCAGTCTGAAGTGGGAATGTTTGAAGAAATCATTGTGCCGTCTGGTCTGGGACATTTTCAGACCCAGAAGATGTTTTTTTTTGGCTGGTGGTTTGAGGCGAGGGAGGTACTTGTTACTGTGTGTCATGAAAGCCGAGATGAAGTTTCTTCAAAGAGTAGGCGGTAAAGGAATCGGGCCAGCAGTGGAGGAGTGATTCATTAAAAAAGTGATTCATTTAGAGGGAAAAAAGCCGATTCATGAATTAAGAGTTGCATTAATGATCTTATTTCTGCAGTAATGCAGAGAGCTGTGTGTACTAGGTGACGCAGTGCAGAATCGATATTGTTCTCCGTGGGTGATTATAAAGTTTACTGACTGTAACTCAGAGTCTGGTTTTAATCCTTAGAAAGAAAAGCAGTGTTGCCTGAAGAGAAACACAGGGAGACCCATTGCTGTGGGTAGTGCTGGACACTAGAGCACACTTGTCACAGTCACCGACACAATCATCTGTCCCCCTGACACAGCGTGGCCTTCACAAACAGAGCTGGATCAGCTCCCTCTGTCTCCGGATGTGCTGGTTCACTGTAATGGGACTCCAGTAACTCTGTCACTTGTTCCTCTGTTCATCGCGGGGGCCATGACTTTCATACTGACAGCCTCGCCATAAAGCACTAGACGGTCATACGCTTGGGGTCACAGCCAGTTCAGGGGAAACAGGGGCCAACAGGGAGAAGGTCTCTGTAGTCATGGAAGATCAGTCAGGACAAGACACACCTGGTTTGTCTTCTGCCATATGTGGCAAAACGCCCAGCACAGAAGGGAGCACACACAAACACACCCATGTGAGGTAGCTTGGCCTTTGTTTTTAGACACCTAGGGTCTGGCAGCGAGGTTTATACTGAAGGCGGATCTTTACAGGACAACCATGGAAAAATATTAAGGGAAGATTATTATTTTTGGTGCGTGTGGCTCCTGGGGGTTTTGCTGGAGCTTGGTGCTGCTTTGGTGTTCAGGCAAGGTCTGGAAATCAAGAGTCTAGACCAGATCTCTGATTGTTCAGATTGCTCAGCTGCCCCGCCATCAATGGCGTTGATTACAATCAGGTTATTTTTATTTCCTTTCCCGCGAAATGTGCCTCGCAGGTATTGCGTAGTCTGTACTGGCAGGATGTGATTAACTCCCTGGCGACGTGGCCCACGATCAAGGCTGTCAAGTTACAACTCCGGAAAAACGTCCAGAGAAAAAAGGAGGGAGTGCGATTAAGCTTGATCCCTTCAGTGCTTATCAAGAACCCAAGGACAGACGAGAGAGCTCAATTCTCCCTCCCCCCAGCTCCTTCCAACTTCAACCTCTGAGCCTTAGAGCCCGGCCTGTTGGAGAATATTTTGTGCCACAGCTAAAAGAGAAACTGTGGCAGAGGGATTGTTCCAGGTTTGTTAAGAACGAGGTGCGTTGGCTGGGTGATTCACCAGAGAGGGAGAGGCGCAGTTTTGTCATGGGAGGGGTCTTCTCCGTTTCAGCCTCTTCTTAGGGCATGTCGCTGTTTTTCTGACCCTGCCTGACTGGCCGGGTTGCTTCATACAGTACGTGACTGCCGACCGTCGCCGCGGGTGAGGTGTAGACTCTCTTCTGTCGCAGAGCACGGCGGCAGGAAGCTGGGAGGACGTGCCAGACCACCCTCCGAGATGACCGATGATTTATTCTGCGGGGATGGCGATAGAGCAGCGTGCTCCAAACAGAGCTCGGACGTTGTCAGATCTGCAGGCTCCAGCCCTCTGGAGGATGTCCCCCAGATTGTAGAACTGCCAGCTTGTAGTAAGTCTGCACTGGTGCTGTGTGTGTACGCACTCCCTCTGCAGGCTCAGGCCCAACGCACCAAGCCTGCCTTGCAAGACAGATGTCTAAAACAACAATAAGAAGAAGAATGATTCATTTTATAATGCTTTACAGGTCATGGGGATCCCCTCCACCACCCCCAGTGTGCAGCCCCACCACGATGATGCTCCAGTCCGCTCCCCACACACCAGCTCACAGTGGGGAGGAGAGCAGAGTGATGAAGCCAGTTCAGATACGGGGGTTATTAGGAGGCCATGATGGGTAAAGGCCAGGGGGAAATTTGGCCAGGACACCGGGGTAACACCCCCACTCTTTTCAGAGAAACACCTTGGGATTTTTAATGACTACAGAGAGTCAGGACCTCAGTTTTACGTC